AGAGTGGGACTAGTGTTTGTTCCGAAGCTCGATCCATGAGGACCTTACGTGAAGAGGGAGGGCGCAGGACGGGAGACATCGGTGACTCTCGTTCAGACGTAAAGCTCCTTCTCAGTCCCCCCCGGAACCCGAGAGGTTAATCGGTCCAACCATCGAGACCGCATCAGAGTGATGGGACAGGATGCTTCGGGCTTTCCAACAAATAACGTATGAACGCGGATCCAACCCGTGCGTGCGGGGTGTTGGGATACGAGTCGGGAGGGCAAAGCAGACAGGGGGTTGTAAGCCTGCCGACATGCTTCCCGAAGACCACTCGTGAAGAGGCAGCGCGGGGGAAAAGACAGATGGGGAACCCTGTCGACTCCAGCCGCATTTTTGCCTCTTGGTCCCCACCGCGATCCCAGGACGACGGAAGACTGGAACAGAAAGCAGTTACCCCGGCGTGGGGGGATCGCGGCGATAAACTCAGGATCCGCGGAGGACAACGGACCGGGTGGGTTCCGGGAAGTAGCCTGGGGGTGGCAAGGGCCCGGAACCCGAAGACCGTCCGTGAAGGGGGTAGGCAGAAGTATTTGTCCAAGGACGGGACAAATAGGCCTAAATTCCCCCTTCGTTCTCGAACTAATTTAAGATAGGCATCGGGGAATCCGATCGCGGACGTTGACACGGGCTTGCGTACACCGAGCGCACATCTAAACACCAGCCCGTGGCGACGTTTTCGTGGGCAAAGGACACCGATGCCGAGTAGCGTACGGGACAGCGGCCAAGGACGCGTGGTCACAGACTGGACCGGGCGGATCTTCGACAAGATGATACCGGAACAGAGGTAAGAGACATAAACGCCAGGAGCGCTCATTCGGGCCCGAGGGAAGGGGGGCGATGGCCGTTCCAGGTACTAAACCCTTCGGGGGCCTGGTTGTGCCGCCTTGAATAGAATAAAACGCGTAGGGGCCCGAATGCGATTCCGGACAGCGGGGCGTATACTGGCGAACCGAGTCCCGGAAGCATGAAGAGCATGCCTTTGCGGGACCACGACCCAACGAGCCCCGCGGTCATCGTATACCGGAAGGCAGTTCTTTACGAACGAAGCACCGGTCGTAAGGTATGGCATTACCAAAAATAGGCCCCATGTGCCGGTAAACATTCGTGACCCCGGAACACATATGTCGACGGGTCACGAAGGCGCTTGGCACACGCTGCAACGATCCGTGATACGCCTGAGGGAGAGAGCGTCGACCATTAGGGAGGGGCGATTAATGACCCAGAACGCGAGAGGTGGTTCCTGATGAACCTGATATTTCCTCTTCGGAGAAATTTCGGCGAAGTCCGGTGGGCCATCGTCTCGCGTCGCGTTCCTTGCAGACTCTAGGGTGGGGGGAGGACGCGATCTACTCTACCTCGTTTCTCATTCTAGTAAATTCACATACCCAGCTATAATTTTAGTCTAGCTTCACACTGGCGGTGGATTCATTTATGGTCCACTGCGGCTCCCAGGGGAGGTGATCGCCGAACCCGACCACGTCTCTCCTTGAGGTCGGCTAGAACGGCCTCCCCATGTATCTCTATTTGGAGTCCCGGGACTCTCTCCCTGTCCTTGCGGGGGGGGGGTGGTAGATTTGTGAAGGGTATCAGAGGAGGGGGTGCTCCTAAAATATTCGGGACATAGGTAGGTAGTACAATAGGGGGTTGAAACAGACGACACAGCTCTCTCTCGATGATGGAACGTATGCAAGCACGATGATTCCACCCCTGGTACAGACTCGGTCTGTGGGTGAAGCAAAGAGTGAGCCGGTACTCACTTTGGAGACGAAGGATCGGTGGCCCCGACGATATACTCCATAGTCACTGAATTAGGTAGGGATGGGACGATCCTAGTGACTCTCCGCCCCCCGGCGAGTACTTCCTCGCCTCAATGTGGCCCGGGCCTAAAAAAGTTGGTCGGGTTGGAAAACTGGGGGAAACAATCGCCCCGGGTAACGCCCACCGCAGCCCCGGCTACTGTGGCGGGGGCTGTGTGATAGCTAACGGCGCCAGAGCCACTGCTGCGGCCTTGGGGGGGAAATCGCACTTCCCCTCTCCCGGGAGAAATGAGCAACTAACTAACTAACTAACTAATCATATCCTTCCGGAATGAATGTGGGCAGCAAAGAATTGTATAATATATGTCTACAGATACTATTTTTTATCGGCCATAGTCTATGTTAAGGGGGCGGTAACGGCCCCCAAAGTGGAGGGATGAAGATATATTTTTTGGAATACATATCTCGGAAACTAGAGAGAGTAAAAAGCAGTTGTTTACTTTAAATTGTGTGTTTTTGAATGGGGAATTTAGACATACAAGAAAATTCAAGAAAAAGTAATTTGTGTTAATAAGATATTAAAAATGTGAAATATTTGTTTAATTTTCTTATGTTACTAAATTCCTCATTCAAAGCCGTACAATTTAAAAACAAATAACTTTTTTCTACTCCCTCTAGTTTTTGAGATATTCAAAAAGTGTGTTGAGTTGATTGATTTGCTTCCTAAAATTTCTTGTGTACCAAAACAGTTTGGGGGCTCTCACCCCTTAACATGGACGATGACCGATAAAAGAATACGTACCAAATATTTTTTGGAAAACTACCTCCCACACAAGTGTCGTCCAAATCAGTGTGTGTGGGTTCGGTATGTTCCCTTGTTGCTAATGTTACACTGAAAACAGTATTAATAATCGATAGTAAGTGAGTGTTTGACTGCCTTTCCCGCCACTGTACATTATTATTGAAATGAAATTAAAGAAAACGAAGAATAAAGTAAATAATAAATAAGAAAAACATTTAATCTAAATGAATATTTGAATTGTGCCGATAACGGCCAGTGCTGTATCGGATCTCGTCATTTGTCTTCCTTGTTTCTGTTCTGCTTCGTATTTTGAATGTCGATAACGACATCGGGGTGGGAGGTGCCGTTTAATCGGGCCGCGCGGCAAATCGAGGGAAATACCATGTTACTCGCAGTAATCTACGACTGCGACATGGCTGGAGGACTGTTTTTTCTCATCCCTTTTTTCATTTCATCCATGCTCCTTCGATGGTTCCGCGAGCGTCCGTAACGATTATTACACGTGTTTTGAACGAAATTTTTTCCAGTCCGCCGGGACAAACATTATTTCCAACGGTTCTAGACCCAATGCTTACGGGGGTTTCGTTTCTGCGCCTCTACTGTTACCATCTTCCGACGCGTGATCCGAATGCACCAATGCGATACGACTAACCAGACGAATCGAAAATCCTTGTCGGTGCGGGCGCCCTCGATCGATACCACTTGTATTTGCGTTTGCTGTTTATTTAAAGAGTCTGTTAACTTTTCGAAAAAGGCATGTTGCAGGCGAAACTGATGGAAAACAAATAATGGATACGATTGATTGAAACTGAGGGAACGGAGTTTGCGTGTGTGCGGTACGCGGAAGGTAGACTGATGGTTTGACGGATGCATCCTTTACGGATTAATATTTCCATGTACTTCTGTTCTGCTCGATTTCCTGTCGATAAAATGAATTTTGTGAAATGTAACATTTTTTTCAGCCAATCTGATAAGAGGCATATGTAACAAATTTTGTACTGTTAAGATTGTTTTCGACGCAGTTAAATCATAGCCTGAATGATATTACGATGTAATTTATGTTGTCGCAAAACTAAACGCGCGCATCCACCTTTTTGAATCCACCTAGGGTTGTACAGTCAAGGTTCGTTGTTGGAACGTCTGGACGACCAGGTTTACGACAAAGACATACATAACATAATCATTTAAACCAATTTGGAGATTAGGAGCTCTATATGTTGCTTTATTGATGTAAAATTCTGGCGTGCGCTTCTAGCGACTCGACTTCTATGCTCTATAGCGATGGACGTCTCGTAAGTCTGGAGACTCGGTATGGTCATTAAGTGTGAAGTTATAATAAACTGCATTATTAAACTAAAGTGTTGTCCCATAATTAGGAAGGGTGGTCCTATGAGCGCAGTTGTCTTTGAGTCAGCACACCACGTGCAAATACCCTCGGAACCTAAACGATCCTCTGATTAACCAAAGATAACAACAGGTCGACTAAACCTATGACGACCGCT